TTTAAAAAAACTCCTGCCATACAACTCCCTGGAAATCAAAGCCCACTGTGAGGGTGTATTGTCATGACACAAGGGTAATGATAATCACACAGACACTTGTGTAATTCTACCAACACTTTCAAAAGGGGGGAAGTGCCCCCCCATCCAGGTGGTAGTGATTTTAAAAAATCTGTTCAACTTTAATTTATTGGCATTAATAGGTGGGTGCCCAGCATAGATAAGGTAAAATGGTTGGTCATATAAAAGGTATTTATATTTGGCTGTGAAATACATTGTTTGACTTACAAACATGCACATATATATACACGTGTTTGTATCAGATTTTGCCATCCTAATTTTTATTTTACTTTAGCTATAAGTGAAAATTAGTTTGAATTTCCTAAACCCATAATTGCTGAGAACCTACAGGAATAGAGGTGCTATGGAGCCAATGCTCTAATCTCTTCAGAGAAAGAGTCAGGCTGAGTCCTTCCTTGCTCATTTTTGCCTGTGCCATTAAGTGGTACAACCTACACGCTATTTTACATTTTGGAAAAGCTTTTAATATTGGCGTCGAGTTTTTATTATTGTTGCTGTTTTCCTTTAAAGAAAATATTGGCTCTTAATAAAAATTTCCTGGAATGAAATAATTCTATCCCCAGTACCAAAATCACATTGAAAACAAAAGTAAAGAAAGCCTATTTACCTAAAGGAATAAAGAAAAGTATTTTTCCACTCAATAGCCTTTGGACTTCTGGTGCCTGGAGACTGTCAATTTTGGTTCAGGACTGTCCCTTCACACTGTCCCCCTTTCATTGCTGATGGCTGAGGCATGCCTGGAATTTTTTCGGATTGAAGAAATGGATCCTAAACTATAACAAGACCAACTTATTATTTTTTTCTGAAATTATTAATTTAAAATTAAGATTTAAAAATGCTTGAGGAAATTCAGGGGTTAAATTCTATTACCTTTCAATTTGTAGGGATTTTTTTCCTTTCAGATTTTTAACAAATTGAAATTCTGTAGGGTTTAAAATTTTGGTGCATAAATATATAGACATACACATGTATTTATGTATGTATGTAAATACTTTTTTTTTTTTTAAAGCAAGCATTTCTCTCTGGTATGACATTATCTGGTGAGACATTTACCAAAAGTCTTTGGAGGGAGTCCTTGCTTTTTTACATTATGACACCTTCCTTAGGTCACCAGGAACACAGGGTGTATGTGACTACACCTTGTTTGGTCAGTATCAAAATCTCGGGGCACAAAGGCAGCCTCTTTTGGTTTAACATCTTCAGAGGATGCTAGCAACTGAAATGCTGAGATTAGAGTACCAAAGAACCACTAGTCAAACCAAGCAGGCTTGGTTCCTCAATCTACTCTTGATAAGAGCAACCATTTCCATTGGTCACAAGTCACAAGGATTCATTTGGAAATATGCAAGTTGGAATTCATTTTTATCAACCAACATGAAGCGTTCCCCTGCTGAAATATGCTTTTTTTTTGGTCATTTGACAAAGGAGACATGGAGTATGAGCAAGAGACAAAGAGACACAGGGAAAAGGCAAGGAACAGCCCCAGGTACGATGAATGCCAGAAATCCTGCAGAGTCACAGCTCCATGGCTGCTGCAAAGGGAGACCCACATGGTGGGAGTGAGACGTGGGACAAGGGACAGTGGGGCTCCCAGGGGCAGGAGTCTGCGCTCCTCCCCAAGCCCTGCTCTGTACTTTCTCTCCAGGACTGAGGCCCCCCTCCCCCGACCTCTGAACCACACTGCTGCCTTACCCCCAGTGCCAGCTGTGGTTGCACACAGGCTTGTCCATGCAATTTGGTAATTACCACCCTGAGGAAACCTGATTAACCCATTGCAACAGGAGTTGCTTCCCCTACGAGAAGTCCCTTTGGTGGATCTGCTCGCTGAGGAGGATCTGGAACACCTGGGACAGGGAAGCTCCTGTAGAACAGATTTCTGGACTGGCTTCATCTCCATAACTGATGGGAATGGACCACTGAGCCTTCCCAGTAGCTATAGAAGATGAGCACCCCACTGGCCCTGGCCCAGTTCTGGGGCGGGTCCGGTAGATGGACCTCATCACCTTGATCATGGTTGAGGCATAGATTAGAGATGACTCCAAATACAAACAAAACTCATTTTCACCATGAATCCATTTATCAACAGCTTAAATGTTGAAATGCTTGAAATAGACTTTCAATCTTTCCAGGAATTTTCACAGAAATCTGAATACTCCAAGTCATCCACAGTGGCAAATGAACTCTGGGATGGCATGAGAAATGAGCAAAATTCTGAACTGAATACTTAATCAATGCAGCACTTGACAAAAACAAGACATGAATTTGGACAGCAATAATTTTGGGGTTATCACCAATGTCAAGTTGAATCTATATATGTGTTCATATATTATATATATATCTTTCTTTAGAAATGCAACTCTACAGCTGATTTTAAAAAGCTAATAGAAAAGTAGAAACTGGCAATTATTTTTACATGTTTCCCCCCACCCCCAAATGAAGCCCTGTTAGGATGTAGCAATCATATGAAGACGAGGCTGTCAATTCCTCTATAAACTCTTTGGTTCTGTGGCTCGGGCGAGGATGTGTCCCCAAGACCCCTAATCCTGACCCTCACTCCCCTTCCCTCCCCTGATGAAGAGACTGAACATAGAAGGAAGCTTAAGTCTAAGAGATAAGCAAAGAACATTCAAGTGACAATAGTATTCCCCATGCTCTGTGGAGAAGAGAGGAGAGAATCGTTCACTATCCCAACATCTTAAACTTAAGAGTCCATGGAACCTTTAGAGAGATTCCATGTTGGGGCAGGAAGCTATAAAACAAAATTAAAGGGAAACAATAAAATCAAATAAATGACCCTCTCCTTTCATTGCTCAGAAACAAAATTGATTACCTTTACACAGATCAATGGCGCTATTAGTATGTTAGCCAGGCAAGAGGAGCTAATGAACTGAAACAAAAGGTGTGAGAAATCCTCATCTTTGGTATTGTAGCTGTTGAGGTTTCTGTTGCTCTGTTCCGTGTTCTTTTGAAAAACTGCATAGGCACAAATTAAAGACAATCTTCAACTTTAAGATTACCGCGTGAGTTGTCAAATGAAGCAGCAGCCACGGAGGCTTTTTTCTTATTTCCGTTCTTGTCTCAACCCTTTCTTTAAAATCTGCTTCCAAAAAATGTCCCAAGAGGTCTGTTTGAACACAGTGTGTCTCGCTGTATTTTGTGTTGTGTTTTTTTGGTGTGTTTTTTTTTTTTTGGCGTGCTTCCTTCTTGTTGGTGGTGATTTTCATTCATTTACGTATTTATTCATCTTAATGGGACAGTTTTGTTTGTTGCAGAAGTAGGTGCAGAAAAAGTTTCTTTGGTTTCGATTAAGTAATTCATAAAAAAGTCAGTCTCAAGTGTCTGTAAAGAATCATTGCAGCGTTTGGCTTGCTTTGAACACCCCCACGGTGCCCACCTGGGGCCATTCACTGGTAAATATGCACATCGTGACCTTCGCAATCTCCCAGAGTTCTGTGGAAGCTCTCCTGCTTGCTGTTGGAAGGTGACGGCCACTCCCTGGGTGGCTTGGCTAATGTCCTTGGCGTAGCCTGTCCGCTCAGCCTGACAGTGAGCCAAATGCAAGAGCTGAATGCCACTCGGAGTTGCAGAGGTTTTCTGATTTCTAAAAGTAATCACAGTATTTTTAGGCTAGAAAATGGCAAGTAATAAATGTCTTTGGTTTGCAGAATTCTGCTTCTTTGGTGTGCTGTGTTTTCTCCAGTTTTATTCAGCTGTTTTGCTAGGATGACTCAACAATGGAAGAGGTTTAGGACTAGATGAGTAACACGTATGGTGACTTGAATTATTAATTTCCTTGCTAGAAAACACTGAAAATGTCCCTACCAATGGGATGGACGAGAGAACAACCCAAATCTGAAAGAGTGACAATGAGTTATGTGGTGGTCAGAATGCACAATAGGAGTGACCAGGTGACTAATAACCAAGGAGGATATATTAATGATCTAATAAAAATCTAGATCTTTTAAAATGCTGCATTTGCTCCATGTACAGTAAAGGTTAAACTGGCCTCCTGAGTGTGCGTCTGCATTATGTACAAAAAGAATTTGTAGCAAACTGCAAAATGTGCTTGAAGCCGTGTTCCCAATGATTCCCTAATGATTTCACAACCGGCGTCTTGAAAGTCCAGATGTGGCGAGTCCAAAACCTTCCTTACTTCTCTGTTTGTCTTCGTTGTGCTTGATACTTGGAGCTCAAGTGAACTGATTTGTTGTTTTGATGGATCCAAGACCGTGTGAAATTTCCAGGAGGTAAAGGAAAGAAAATTGTAAACTGGACCAACTTAAAGCTTTCAAAACCATTCAATGAAAAGATGCCTGAGTTGGAAAAACAGGTCCTTGGGTTTTTTTTAACTTCCATATTTAAAACTTGTGCTCAGTAATTATTCTGACGTTTTCTATGTTATGGCTATGAACTTTGGTGTACTGTGATGTGATGAAGCTAAGCACTTGGAAAGCAAATGAGGTCATTCTGGTTGCTAGAATCTTCTCTTAAAATAGCATCTTGGGAGCCCAAACTCAGGCCGAATTCCCACTGTTACTCGTGGGAACTCTGACTGCAGGAGGTTGATAGAACCCGAAGTGGGACTGTTGATGTTTAAGCAGTCCTGAGCTTGATTGACACCACACTGAATGAACTTGCTCCAGGAGGGCCCCATTTGGGTTTCTGAGATGCTCAGAGGACAATGTCCGGTTCAAAGAGATTCATTTTCAGCTTGCACTTGGACTCAGCCATTAAAAACAAAACAAAAAGACAACACCTGGCCTATGATTACAGCTAGAAGTTTCTTTTCAAGAGAATTGTGCTTTCAAATCACCAGTGAAGGGCCCCAGCTAAGAATCCGGTGTTTTTTTCCCTTTGTGTTTTCTTTTGGTATCTGCTGTCCTCATTTGGAGGTGACTTGTGCCCAACTGAGAGTCCTTCCATCATGCTTTGGTACAGGTGCTGGAGGTGGACGAGGAGCCCCCTGTGCTCAGGTCGTCCTGCCACTTCTCCAGGCTGCGGCGCCGGGCGTTCATGAAGAAGTTGCTGACGGTCGTGAGCTCCAGGCCCAGCTGCTGAGAAATGGTGATCTGCATCTCTTTCGATGGGCGCTTGTTCTCCTTGAAGATGGCAAAGAGCGTTCGGCGTTGCAGGTCAGTGAACACCAGGCGCGATTTCTTCTGGGAATTATTCCTGTCTTTGTTTGGTTCTTGCTCTTTGCGTTTGCACGCTGGAAGGGAGAGAGAGGAAGGAGAGAGTCAGTATGGGCACCAGAGGTGATCCATTGAAAACATCGACAAAGTCGTACAAGGGGATGTAAACTGTTAAACTTTATTGTGCAAATTGCCCAGCTGTCAATAACCAGCCTTCCCAGCTCATCTCCAGGTGACAGAAGGCATCAGTCAGTGCGGGGAGGGAGGAAGGAGAAAAACACAGGGATGTTTTCCAGTCTGGTTTGGAACCGATTGCTTTCTCTTTCACCCCACTACCAACCCCCAGCACACCCTTCAAATTGTCTCTCTCTGAGATCAGGGGCTGTGAAGGGAGTCAGGATTCCAGGCCCTCAGGGAAGGCTGGTTAGGTGGTTTCTCTTTCATATTCACTCTCAAGAACTGTTTACAGCTGATCTGAAATTACTGTTGGGAGTCAAAACTTTAAAGCGCATGATTTTTCAAAATCAAAGCTTCTACCTACGTGACTCAAAAAATTGTTAATAGAATGAAGTTAGAGTTGATAGAATGATGGTATCATCCTGACCCAAATCCCCTTCTTCCAGACTTTCAAAAAATTAAGAAAAAAGAAAATGGGGAGGGAAAGACTATGAAAGAATTGGTTTAACCAATTCTAATTTGGCTAAGTCTGAAGTGAAGCTAGTACAAGAAGACCAAGGCAGAGGGTGGCAGAAGAACCCCAAGTGACAATGACAAGAACTTAGGGTCCTAGGTACGTCAATTAGTATGTGCAGTCTCTGATTTAGCAGATGTGTATCCACATCTGGATGGACATCTGCAGCCAGTACATTAATTTATGTGTCACTAACTCTGCCTTACCGTACGAGTCCTCAAAGGCTGGGATCAGGTCTGTGTGATATTCCTGATTGGCTCTTTCTGGGGCCATGAACACAAATGAAGGCTTGGGATGCTGTGGTGTATTGATTCATTCAAGAATGTATACTTCACAGACAGATTTGGTCTCAGAAAAGTGACTTGTGAGGGTTAAATAACACAGCGCACGCAAATCACGAATTTCAACATGAGAACACGTGTTAAAAATTACTGGTACGAAATCCCAGCTCACTCAGGGATGTCGTGTAGCCTCAGCAGAGTTAGTCTGAGAAAGGCAAGGAGAGAGAAGCATGGCATCAAGCACTCTTCCTCGAAGCAGATCCTACTGGACATTCTGGCCCCGGACTGAGAATCTCTTTATATATCAGACAGATGCTCCCCAGGACTAGCAGTTTGGGGTGCTGCCAAGATGATTTTCCATACTCCTCAAAACCCTGGTTTGCAAATGTCACTTCGGAGCCCTGGGTCAGGGTATTTCCTGCTGATTGCATTCCTAGGGAGCATGGTGTAGCAGCCCCGCTCTCCGATACATACAGCTTGAGGATCAGGGGAACAGCCATCACTCTGATGGGTCTTAGGATTTTAACCAGACGACCAACTCTCATAGAAAAGATATTCTGGAAGCTGAACTTCCCCCTTGTTACCTGGCCATCCTCCCTGGTGAAGGCCACCTGCCTTGAAGGAATCACTCCTGACATAAATGAAGTGATGACACTTTTCTTGGTTAAAACTTTCTTTCTGACTTTTCCTTCTTTCATTTTATTTATTTATTTAATCCTCAACAGAGAATATTTTTTCCATTGCTTTTCAGAGAGAGTGGAAGGGGAGGGAAGAGAGAGAGAAACAGTGATGTGAGAGAGACACATCGATTGTTTGCCTGCTGCATGGGCCCCGAGTGGGGCCGGGGATCGAGCCTGCAACTGAGGTACGTACCCATGGCCAGAATCGAACCTAGGACCCTTCAGCCCGCAGTCCAATGCTGTAACCACTGAGCCAAACCAGCTAGGGCTCATTCTTTCATCTTGAAAAATAAAAGTAATCCTGTTATCTTAGAATTTTAAAAACACACACACTTGTTTACATCTTAAAGCCCATTCCTAGAGGGTTGGGACTTCTCAGATAGGGTTGGAATGGGCACTCAGAAAGGGCTGAAACAGCAGACAGGTTTCCCAGGAAAGATTTCTTCTTTGCTCATCCCTGCGAGGACCTTACATTTCTGTTGAACGATGCATGTTTACCCTAACCTCATTCTCAGATGTATTCTCCCTCGTCCAATCTCAAATCTCTTTGACAACAGCGCTTCCAAACATTAAGGTGCACAGGAATCACCTGGAGAACTCTTTCAAATGCAGATTCTGATGCAGGCAGCCTGGGCCAGGGCTTGAGAATCTGCACTTCTAATGAGCTCCCAGGTGATGCTTCTGGTCCACATGCCTCAGTTTCACGACCAAGCCTCTGCCTGATTTCTAAAATCTCTGAGGAGCACCTTGAAGGAATGGAAAGCTCTGGAGCCAGCCTTGCCTGGATTCAAATCTGGGCTCCTTCACCTATAAGATCTGGGACCTCAGCAAATTTCTTACCTCTCAGGGCCTGATTCCTGACCTGAATAATGGGATTAATGATGCTCACCTCTGTAGAGGCCCAAGTGAGGTACCATTATATGAATGCTCCCTTCCCACCCTCCTCTCACTGGAGTACCCCAGCAACCCCGAGGCAGATAAGTAGCAAAATTATTTTCTTTCTTTTTGTTGTTGTTAATCTCCACTTGTGAATATTTTTTTCATTGCTTTTTAGAGAGTAGAAGGGAAGGATGGAGGGGGAGAGAGAGAGAGAGAAAAATATTGATGTGAGAGACATAGATTAGTTGCCTCTGGCACATGCCCCAACTAGGGCCAGGGATTGAAACTGCAACCAAGGTGCGCGCCTTTGACTGGGAATCAAACCTGCGACCCTTTGGGGCGTGGGCCAATGCTCTAACCACTAATCCACAGTGGCCAGGGTTATTTTCATTTTTAACTGAATTATTTTTAATTTATCTTTATTGTTGAAAGTATCAGACGTCCCCTTTTTTCCTCTATTGATCCCCTCCACCCTGCTCCCACTCCACCCCCCAGGCCTTCCCCATACCAATGTCTCTGTCCATAGGATAGGCATATAAACATATGAGTTCTTTGATTAATCTCTCCCTACCCACTCCCCCACCCCCATCTTCCCTCTGAGATCCCTCAGTCTGTTCCATGATTCTATGTCTCTGGATCTATGTTGTTCATCAGTTTATTTTGTTCATTATATTCCACATATGAGTGAGATCATGTGGTACTTGTCTTTCTCTGACTGGCTTATTTCGCTTAGCATAATACTCTCCAGTTCCATCCATGTTGTCCCAAAGGTAAGAGATCTTTCTTTTTTACAGCTGCATAGTATTCCATGGTGTAAATGTCCCACAGCTTGTTTATCCACTCATCTACTGATGGGCACTTGGGCTGTTTCCAGATCTTAGCTATTGTAAATTGCGCTATGAACATAGGGGTGCTTAAGTTCTTTCTGATTGGTGTTTTGGGATTCTTAGGATATATTCCTAGAAGTGGGATCAGTGGGTCAAATGGTAGTTCCATATTTAATTTTTTGAGGAAACTCCATACTCTCTTCCATAGTGGCTGTACCAGTCTGCATTCCCACCAGCACTGAACTAGGCTTCCCTTTTCTCCACACCCTCACCAGCACCGTCCTTTGTTGATTTGATGGTAGCCATTCTGACAGGTGTGAGGTGACATCTCATTGTGGTTTTAATTTGCATCTCTCTGATGATTAGTGATGTTGAGCATTTTCTCATGTCTCTTGGCCATCTGTACGTTCTCTTTGGAGAAGTGTCTATTTAGGTCCTTTGCCCATTTTTTAATCGGATTGTTAGTCTTCCTTTTGTTAAGTTGTATGAGTTCCTCATATATTTTGGATATTAACCCTTTATCAGATGTGTCATTGGCACATATGTTCTCCCATACAGTGGGCTCCCTTTTTGTTTTGTTGATGGTTTCTTTTGCTGTGCAGAAGCTTTTTATTTTGATGTAGTCCCATTTGTTTATTTTCTCCTTTCTTTCTCTTGCCCTAGGAGATGTGTCGGCTAACATATTGCTAAGAGAGATGTCTGATATTTTGCTGCCTATGTTTTCCTCTAGGATTTTTATGGTTTCACGTCTAACACTTAAGTCTTTTATCCATTTTGAGTTTACTTTTGTGTATAGTGTAAGTTGGTGATCTAGTTTCATTTTTTTGCATGTACCTGTCCAATTTTCCCAAAATTTATCGAAGAGACTGTCTTTACTCCATTGTATATTCTTGCCTCCTTCGTCAAATATTGAGCATAATAGCTTGGGTCCATTTCTGGGTTCTCTGTTCTGGTCCACTGATCTATATGCCTGTTCTTATGCCAGTACCATGCTGTTTTGATTATAGCAGCTTTGTAGTATAACTTGGTGGCTGGTATTGTGATCCCTCCAACTTTGTTCTTCCTTCTCAAGATTGCGGTGGCTATTTGGGATCTTTTTTGGTTCCATATAAATTTTAGAAGTGTTTGTTCTAGGTCTATGAAATATGCCATTGGTATTTTAATAGGGATTGCACTGAATTTATAGATTGCTTTGGGTAGCATGGGCATTTTAATGATGTTGATTCTTCCGATCCATGAATACAGTATATTCTTCCACCTGTTTATATCTCTCTCTCTTTTTGCAACGTCCTGTAGTTTTCCTAGTACAGGTCTTTTACCTCCTTGGTTAAGTTTATTCCTAAGTATCTTAATTTTTTTTGTTGCAATGGTAAATGGGATTATTTTTTTAGTTTCTTTTTCTGAGGGTACATTATTGGTGTACAAAAATGCCACTGATTTCTGCGTACTAATTTTGTATCCTGCTACCTTGCCGAATTCATTTATTAAATCTAGTAGTTTTCTGGTGGAGTATTTAGGATTTTCTATGTACAATATCATGTCATCTGCCTTTTATATTTTCTTCCTGTCTGATGGCTGTAGCAAGGACTTCCATTACTATGTTGAATAAGAGTGGTGAAAGCAGACATCCTTGTCTTGTTCCTGTTTTTAAGGGAAATGGTTTTAGTTTCTGACCATTGAGTATGATGTTGGCTGTAGGTTTGTCATATATGGCCTTTA